TGGGAAATGATTTTCCTCTCATTTCTGAGTAGATTTGGCCAGTGGAAGATATTGTTGTCAGATAGGTGATCAGAGACATACAGAAGCTAGGAAATGTCTTCCTGCCATACCCTCCATGGTTTCACCATCACTAGAGAAGCCTGTTACGGTTCTAGTTTTCATTTGGTGTCCCAGGTTCTCATAACAGCACTTCTGCCTTGGTAGCTTCAAGTTTAGACTGTAGCGCCAGATGTATCAAGTTTATTTACCCTCACTTTGAAACATATTTTATTTAACTATTGGGCCAGTAAAATCGTACATGAGGGGAGAAAAAAGGAGAAGCAGTCTCCTGTCATAAAAAAAAAAAAAAAAAAAATCTCTGTACTGCAAGTAAGGGCTTTAGATAGGCCATTGCTATTAAAACAGAATAAGATTTGTAAAGAAGGGTATACTTTGGACCAGCAGATTAGGTATAATGGTTACATCACTCGACTCCTGCAAAACAGTCTGTGGTTTGAATCCAGGAGGCTGGAAACACACCAGGCATGTGTGCTTGAATGCCCAAAATCTCAAGAGGTGAATGGAGGAGAAAGAAGTACAGTGGGCCATCCTCCCTGGGATGTGATTTCTTGCTTTCTGTTTCTCTGGCAAACACGTGCCCTAAAATCTTTTTCTCAAATAAATAAATAAATAATAAGGGTAAACTTTTCAAGTACATTCACATATATTATCTGCAACTTACAGTGGGCTGAAACTCTTTATACAAAATGCTAAGTGAAATTGATGTGTAAGTCTCTATCATTTTAACATACTCACACATCTATTATGAAGCAATTTTGTGTTTTCTCAAATAAATAAATAAATAATAAGGGTAAACTTTTTAATTACATTCACATATATTATCTACAACTTACGGTGGGCTGAAACTATACAAAATGCTAAGTGAAATTGATGTGTAAGTCTCTATCATTTTAACATACTCACACATCTATTATGAAGCATTTTTGTGTACTTGCTCAGAGAATATAAAAAGAACAGCAGTTTCCTATTTTATTTCTGTTTCTGAATATATAGAATTGCTTCTGGTATACCTTTTGTTTCTGAATAAACATGGTGACTTTAGAAGCTTGTGAGATAAAGGTGGTGTCAGTTGGTAACCATTTCATATTCTAAGGTGGAGAAAAAGGAGAATTCACATCACACAAACAGGAGAAGTTTGTAAAATAATGGTGGTCAATTATAACACACCTCTCCTAGGCTGTTAGAAAACTCCTGTTTGAAGCCATTCTTAGTGACAGAAAATGTCAACATGTTCTAGAAAATTTAGCATACATTCTCATCACATGTATTTTAATTTATATATA